CCCCGTAATTACCACCCCCAGTCACCCCTCCAGAATTCCCAATAACCAACGGAATTTTCCGTATTGTCAAACGTGAAATCGAATATTGTGAGTGCCAAGTTCTTACGGAATTGCTCACACTTTTTTTTTACGAAGAAAGTTGATGCGGTTGACACTGGTGTCGTATCGACGAGTGGAATTTACAGTGTGCGGGAGTAAAGTGAAAAGTTTCTCCAGATCTGATAATTTTCTCGGTAAAAAAATGATGGAGCAAATGTACCGGTTCAACGACCAGTGAGTGTTGTGGCAAATTGAAACGAATTGCTCTGGGTTGAATCCGCGAGTGGTAATACAGCGAGAGTGTTGACAAAATTAAGTTTGACATCGTCGATATTGATCGAAGGCTCAAGGGTTTATTCAGTGGTTAACAATATGATGGTGAAGGTGTGCAGTAAAATGCTGACGAGGACAAGCATCGAATGCCGTTGAAAAGCCGACAATGATTTAATCCCCCTCAATGGGTGAGTTAGCATTAACAAATATCAGTGGAAATTCAGACATTTCTATAACTTCCGGTGACTATCCGTTATCAACCCACCCCTCCAACTGGAGCTGTTCGCTCCGCGATTTGTAATTGAATAAATTAATAAACTTTAGTGAGGACATGCGAGGGCCACTACAGGACACTAAATCGTCGAATTGAGGAGTTAACTGAACAGTAATGGCGTGCACTGGTTAAATATAGCCACGTGGATACAATTCATTTCCAATTCAACAGTTAATGTATCCCTCGGTGGAATGGGTTCATTAATTGGGGATTATTACAGCAATCCTTTAGGAAGATAATAATAAGTCCTGCGTTGGAATGCTAATTAACGATTAATACTGTTGGAAAATTCATTTTTTAATGAAAAAATCCATTTTTTCATTTTTCATTAATCGAAATTTTCAATTTTTCATCAATGTATCAATTAATTCTGGGAATATTAATATTTATTCTCCTCATATTTTGTCCGTTGAACAAAACCAATGGCGATAAAATAGGAGAATTGATTAGCGAATTTTCCGATATTAATATTAATGCAGATATCATGAAACAACGGTTGACTGAACACATGATTCTCTTGATCAGTCAACTGCGATGAAATCAGAATCGTTTATTCGATTTTACGTGTTGTTTTTCAGTGTTGTTAATAATCGATGAGTGAATGAGTCATGAGGGTTGGAGAAAGGCGGATGTTTGATATTGACACGCAGTGGATTCCCTCGGGATATTTTGAATATCGCTCCTGTCCAATCTAACCGAAAAACGTAAAATCTTTTATTTCTCCCCGTGACTTGATTATTTTTCCCTCTCGTTCCGGGAGGGTCATTTATTTGGGATAGGTCGGCCATTCTGACAGGCCATCTCTCACTGGAATTTTTCCTCTTATCGTAATGTCACTTGTACATTTCAGTGGAGATGAACACTAGGATGAACATTCAGTCAGTTCTTCAAGTACATAAACAACAACTGGGAGAATAAATATGAGCGTCATTCCTCAGAAATGACACCGGGGGAAGAAATTATTTGATAAAGTAGCTTTACTGATACCGAAATATCTTCTACGCTGATGAAAATATTTCCCCCTATTTTGATAAATTTCCATCGCCAATAGGTTCTGCGTAAAAAGGTGAAACAAGTTTGAGAGTATCAGTTTGCGGTAATTGAATTTAATTTCGTGTTACGAAATATCATTGGGATTGGAATTTCCACATCGAACGTTGCGTTGACGAAATTTCAAATTCTCCTGATTCCATGAATTATTAATTTTCTGACAAATTAATATCTCAACACCGATCAGGAAATAGTTGTGGTGAATACCTCTCCATCTTCTAGATTATCGGAAAATTATTGGCGATGGTGTTGAGTAATTATCAAAGGCAAAAACCAAAACAGTCGTTAAACCATCATTTCATTTCTGACCGCCGAGCTCGGCGCAATTAGAACGCAAAAATGAAATAAATGCCTCGAAATTTTCGGTGATTACCCGATCCCTTCACCGCAGAATTTAATGTCTAAATCATTAAAAGTACTTGAATCAAATGCGGCAATCAGCTGTGTGATAAATCATTGGTTGCATCATTCATCAAACGAACCTATTCAATTGCTCATACAAAGTGTCATTGATAATTTCAAATTAGTGGTTTGTTTATAGAACCAAAAAAATCTTTATTCGCATGAGCCAAAAAATTCCAGGACCTCAACCCCTGAATATCGAAATGTACTAATTTGAGCTCACGAACTCAGTGAATGGCCTTTTCAAACAAGTACTGTAAAGTCATTTTTCTTCAGGCTAAAAGATACCGTTGACTCTGAAAACTGAAACAAAGGAGACGTGCGCGTGAAAGCTCATATCCGCGTAAGTATCAAACAACCAAGAAGGCAACGGAAAGTTGTGGGCGATGCTTACTCGGTGGAATTTACAGCTTTGGGGTATAAAGCCAGTGGTGTCGCGCGGAAATGAAGGATTTTGCGGCTTCACTCGACGGTAATGATAAAACAAAGCGCGAGACTCCCATATCGCCCGAAGGGACTGTTAATTCAATTTTTCTCTTTACATTGGGCTTAAATATGTTAGCCGGTATAAAATTCATGCAACTAGTTGGCAACTTCTGGTGACTGAGTGTTAATTAATGGATTATGAATTTTGATGGCGGTTTTTCGTGTTACATCGAAACTTTTCGACAAGGAGCCGACAGCTTTTGTAGGACTTGGCATGGAGGATCAATGAGATATACGATCAAACAGCGTGGAGTCTAGGCTCGGTGTACCTTGTCTTCGGACAGCCTCGGGGCAAGGCAACGGCCGACAAATATCGGGGCAAGTTACGTGCTCTTTAAATTAAGTTAGTGCAGATCCTTTCACCGGATTTTCTTGGAGATTCTTCGTAAATTTATTATTCAAATTTTTCATACAAAAATCGGTGGTTGGAAATAAAAAAAATCTGAATTCAAATTTCAGTACAGATGTTTTGGGAATTTTTAATTGTGAAGTTAAGAGATTGGGGGGGAGGGGCGAGAGGGCGAGGGGAAGGTTAGGTTGTGATAGCATTGATGTTTGGGATGAAATTAGATGATGAGGAACTCACGTGGACTTCTGAATTTCATTGACCGTCCAGGTGTTGCTCCCTTTTTCATTTTATAGTCCTTCCCCAGAGTTCAATATAAAATTTACGTGACACCGGAACACGAGCTTGACGAATTTTTCGGGGATAAAAAGTTGGCGAGGATTTGCTCTTCAGGATATGAAAACCGAGGACTGACGTCTTCTTGCTTCATACTCTCTGTGTAAAATAATTCTGACGGCGAATATCTATTACCCCTGTAAACAATTACAACAGTACAATGAAAATAACACAGTCCAAAAATTATGCAATGAGAAAAGTAATAAAAAAATGGAATCCGATGAAAATTGAAAAAAACACAAAATGTCAAGTTCAAATTCAAGGTGAATTTTTCCATGAGTATCCAACAAATCTCCACCGAGTATTTTTTCGTACATAAATTTATCCTCGACGTGGACACAAAAAAAAATGGTTGCTTCATCGTGACATGTGGATAGTGGGCGCATGGCATAACGGAAAAAGAAAATCATGTCGGTGGAAATAACAATGTACGCACCGAAATTGCATCCCCTGGGTCGTAACGATTTACAAGGGAAATTCGAGATACATCCAGGAGGGGGTGGCAATTTTTTTTTCTGGTCACGGAGCTCAGTGCGGTTGCCACAGGGGAACCGGCCTGTCAGGTGGCGGTACAAATTAAATTGGCAAAAAAATGAAAATAAAAAATAAAACTGGATTAAAAGAAAGGCGGATGAGGTAATAGGTGAAAACAAAAAAAAAACTGTAGCAGGAGGAAAATTTACATGTAAAGCAAAGCTCTAATAGAATCCATATTTGCATTTCGAATGGGCGAGAGCTCCAGAGATGAGAGACATCGGAAATAAAAGTTGATATTTTTTTTTCTCTTCCTTGAAGTTTGCACATTTGTAATCCAAAATATTCATTGGGGTAAATAACGATGAGAGGTGTATAATGAAAAATCCGTTCTATGCAAAGTCGAGGGGTTTTTTTTTTTCTCTACAGGAAACGGAAGGAACACTTCGACTCTGCGGGAGGAATATAAATGCGTTACTGGATAACGATTGCACGTAAATCAATCTCGCTGAGATATCGTAAATGCTGTTCGTATCTTTGAGCTTCTGGCAATGCAATCACAAGAATTTTTGCATATTTACTCGGTAAAGGAGACGAGAGGGAATTTGCGAGGAGAGAAAAATTAATTTCCTGGTTCAAGATTTTTCAGATTGGGAGCGACTCCGGGTGAATATTCATCGTCAAATTGTATTGAATTTTTAATAAACGCTATGAATACAGCTGATAATGAACACTTATTGAAAAAATATTTTCTACTACACAACCAGATGAATTTGAAAAATTAGAATGCGCCCGTTGAGGTGAAAAAATTCCACCTCTTGTCATTGACGCAATCAAATTTTCTCGAAATCCGCGGAAGTGTAAAGTAGCTGAAAGTGCACTATTATTTCCGCGCATTCAATCCGTTGTTTCAATTCTGGAACAAGTCGGCTTTTGAGCTTCCATAAAATTCGGTATACAAAGGAGCGACTTACAGGTCTTAAAATATTGAATAGAGCAGAGTGCTTTGAGCCCCGCGACAAGAAGCGAAACTAAAAATTCATACTAAGTCCCTTTCGAAACGGTCCCGACCTATTTATGTATTTTTTAAATTTCACCCCGGAATCGACTTAAGGGTCTTTCATTTCATTTTTCAGGATGCAATCTACTGACCGGTGGGACGTAAATGGCAGAGGAGAGTATCACCGTAAATCGATGTTACAAATTTCTATGAGAATGCGACGACCAGCACTCGTCTGGTGACACAAACATCCCCTGCTCGGTTGAATGTTTTTTTTCTCCCCCTTTTTTACGAGTAATTCTCAAATATTCGTACTGAGGGTGGCTCTATCCTGGGTGATTGGAACAAGATGCTGTAAATAAAGGTATAACCATCCGCCCACTGAGTGAAGTGAAGTGAACGAGGTCACGTAATCCTTGAAGCACAATGGCACTTCTGTTTGTCGTTATCGTTATTCTCGTTACAACTGCAATGTCACTGCCTCCTGTCATACGAATTGGTAAGTACGAAATAATTACAGTAATTTATCCCACCCCCGGTGCAAAAATTTCGATTAAGTGACGCGCGCGGGCATCAACATCTGATGAAATTCAGATCCTGATGTTTCGCAATTTTTATTAACAATTGGAGTTAAAATTAGTGCATCAGTAAATTGGAACAACTGTTAATTAATTGTTTGATGGGCAATGGTAAGAAGTTGGGAATCGAAGGTAACCCAATGGCGGCGGGTGGGGGTTGATGGGAAACTGTGAAAGTTCCATCTTTCTTTTTATTTTACGAAAAATTTATGAATTTTCACGTCCGGGGGAAACTTAATCGGAAGTTATTCGAGACTTTTAATTAGGTTTTTTTTTCCTTATTACGGATGTCTATCTTATTACGAAGTTCTTCGTGTTTTGATCGGTTGCGGGTTTTTCAGGAGTTGTGACAAGTTATTTGAGTCTTTATTGGATTTTTAAATAGTTGGGATAAAAACGAAGAGAAAAACCGCACAATCCGGGATTTTATATTCTATTATAATAATAATGATTATCTCCGACGATTTTATTATCATTCATGGATTAAATATGAGTACAATGAGCGATTGGCTGATGGAAATATTCTACTGCGGGAAAATCAATTGTCAGTGGAGCCTGAAGGGCCAGAATTTTTAATCCTGAATTTGCGGCGGGGGCAAATGATTTTTTCAATTTTTAATTTGTTGTTCGCTTTTCACGGCTTTATTGGAATCAACAGAGCAAATATAAATGGAACGAAATATGGATAAATAAACAAATTCAACTTTGAAATAAATTGCACCCGACCCCTCAGGGACTGGTCTACACTTTTTGATTGGGAAAAGTGACTTTTCCTACTATTGCATCCACAATTATTCATCCGTATAAATAATTGAAAAATTTTTAGTTAAATTTTGGATTCTGTCAAGATAATTATTGTGACATTTCGTTTTTCTGGTTTTTATTGTCAAGAATTTGGAAATATCTTTCCCGCCACCTGTTAACGCCTGGAAAACCTCCGAGTTAGGGTGAATCACCTGAGTTTGAACGTGATAGGAATTGAAAGTGGCAAACTTTACGACGGAAAGTCAAAGCCATCGTGCCGTAAGCAGTAGAAAATTCGTTCGATTTAAGCTCTCGGTATAATATCCCCATCCCTGTTTTGTCTCCCGTATGCATCTTCCCTCTCGCATTGCCACTTTCTCAAGGCAACTTCTGAAATACGGTAACAATTCAAAAGTTTAAATGAAATACAGGCCGTAGATTAAAATGGGAAAAAATTGGCCGGGAATTGTGCCTCCGAGCAACATTTCACTTTAAACTTCTCTCACGTATTCGCGAGATTGAAGCCCATTTTCACGTTTTATCATGAATATTGAATGTGCACTGATAAACGGATGTTGCTGCTATTAGAATGAACCGCAGAAAAAAAAAAATTGAATAATTGAAAAAATTAGAGAGCAGACCTGCGCTTTTGGCAATATTTACCGATTCGGGTGTGAATGATCGGACATTTTTGGTGGTAATTGAGAATTGACCGCGAGATTGATTAAACGTTCACACGGTTGAATGAAGCAGAACATCCGGCAAAGACGAGAAGCTGCGGGGGGATGAACTTTCCGTCGATTTAATTGGACGAATTTCAATGAGGCTGCATCCGATGCCGCTCGGAAACTTCATCGTAATTTCCGAAGTAAGAGAACAGCGTAAAGAAGCCACGAAACTCGAAATACCCGGACTGCTTACGGAATGGGAAATACGAGGAGGTTACGGAAAAGAGGTTATGCCTCGGGGCCAAACAGTCGTGGAACTTTTGCCTTTTTTTTGGCCGGGGGGAGGAAAGGGGGGATAATAAGAGCTAAATTCTGGGGTCGAGAAATAATTCCAGGGTGGAATCGTATATTGTGAACAGAGACTCGAATTTGCCCCCCGGTTTTTTTCCCAGTTTTTCTTTCAAAAGCACTAGCTTATGAATAATGACGGTTTAAATAGCTCAAGTCGGATAATTCGATGTTTTACTCCTCCCATTGCACGGAAATTGAGACATAAAATTTATCTCGAGACTGAACTCGCGTTGAATTTTCTCTGAAATTCCAGGTGATTAGAATCGCGGGGTAAATGAAAATCTCAGATAAAAACTTGTCGAAGTCTCGAATTGAAATTCCGAAAATGGTGAAGTAAAGCCGTTGAAGACTCTCAACTCATGACTTTGAGAGCTCAAATAAATGTATCTCGAAATATGAAAGGAAAGTTTGCTCGAATGTTGTCCCCGGCTTGATGAACTTTGTTTCTGAGTGGTGAAAGTCCCATCGGGGAGGACAATTTATTCCCACCGGATAAGTAAGTTTTCTGATTAATATTTTCTCGGATATCGAAAAAACTTGAGTGAACCTCATCGATGGTGATCCTCCGAACGAGAAAATAGTGAAGCACCTTCTACCACCAATATGGTGTAAGATACGCTAGTTATGCAAAGAAATTCGCTGCAAGCTTCTTAAGAAAATCCGTACAATGCAATAACTTAGTTATTCCAAGTCACACACAAAGTTCAGCTCATGGTGACTCGGGGGTTGGCGGATTATGGGAAGGGGTGTCTTATGCCACCCATTTACATCCACTCGTGAACAAGGCCTGGCTGTATGCCATAACATTTACATTTTCACGAGAAATTCGCATTGTTCAGAGCTTTATAGGTTACTCGGGTCTTCGGGGATCGGTGGAGGGTTAGATATCGAGAGAATATAAGCCGCCTATCATGGCACTGAGAAAAGAGAACACTGAAGGGATTTCCCAACCCGCTGGTTAGCCTGGACACCGATAGTAAATCGATTTCTCAGGCCCACATGACCCATTCCATCTCTCAATTCGCATCGTCAGTTCTTTTCTTCCCTTTTTTTTTTCAGTAGGAGGATTTCTAGGTAAGAGTACCATCTCTCAGTGCCCATGGCATTACCCGGGTATTATCTCCAGGACTTACGAAATTGCAATTGAGAAATTGATTATTGAGGGGGGAACTGGAGCTGGGGGAAGAGGAGCTTTACAACTTTCAGGGGAAAGTCAGCTTTAGTTTTGGTAAAGCTTTGGGGAATTTTATGATTTTCACAACTGGAATTGTTGAGTTAATTTTGAAGCTAGGGTAATTAGTACGTTAACGGAACACTTGAAAATGATAATAAGCATTTGAGCATGAGTCACGTTATAGCCGGTATCGACATATCACCACAAGTCGATGGAGGTTGAACGTCAATTTGCATCAGCATCATGGAAGCTGAGTTGTCGAAGCGCGATAAGGCGTGACTCGGAGAATCAAGAAGTCACATCGATATCCCCCAGGTGATGAAGATACCCCATCCCTAGGTCTCTTCTATCTCCAGTATATATTCACCCCACATGGATTTTCTCCTCATTCCGCTATCCACTCCGCCATATATTTTCATTCTCATCCAAACATTGCATACACGTCCCACACACGTTGAATTCGTCAGGTTGCGAGTACCTGTGCCCGAATGTTGGATAAGCAGACGCGCACTGCCAACACAGCTATGGCAGTCAGTAAGCACTGGCCATTGCTCGTATTTGAGGCACGATTCACCGACGTACTTGGAATTTATACTAGAAATAGTCGGTTCGGTCGGACCGTTCGAGCGTTTCATATGTTGGAAAATCCCGGCTCTTTCCTAGGTAAAAGTCGTAACTGAGAGGATTTTTATTTACTCCCGTGTTTGCCGGAGTTCATTGGCTCTTTATACCAACTAAGACTTATTTTTATTTATCGTCATATTGACGGAAACAAATATCCTGTCAAAATCATGTTCAATCCGAAAATGGTTGGGGAGGGTAATGAGATATCGAGGGAATTTTCGACAGATCATAATAATTCTGAAATGTGCAAAATGTCGGGGGATTGCAATATCGGAATTCCGTCGAGTTGAGTATCGGCATTGGGCCTTGATCCACATTGCATTTATGCTGTAGTACCTGGACTCGCCCACCGTCGCTTTCTTACCCGCGTCGAATGACGGTAATTGATACAAATGTAATTGCAGACGCAATAGGGGAATGCAATAGTTTTAGAGCATGTGTGCATGGCCTTCGGGGCCTTATCAATGGATTTTATTCCCAGGCGAAAGTCCAAATAATACAATGACGCAAGATTTTGAAAGTGGAACAACGATTATCGGATTATTTTTATGGATAACAGAAGCTAAGTCCATTCCTTTGTTACAATTCTGGATATCTCGGCCTTTTTTTTTCATTTCTCTAATGAGAATATTTTTCTGACTAGCGTGGAATCAGATATGAGTAATTGCAGTTATTGTGCAGCGCTCCCGGTTTTTTTTTTTTTTTGCCAATTCATCAGAAATAATTTCGGTCATCGGCTGCGGTATGGAGGTAATAAGTAATTAAATAATGGAAGTAATTGTTTCGCGGGGATAATTATTGACTGATAATTAAAAATATCCTCTTGTAAATTTTATTTATTCGAGTTTTTTTTTTCATTGATTGTTCTATTAAGGCGCACACGTGGAAAAAAATGGAGAATTTTCTCGCGTATCTCTCCTGTGATTAATGACATCATTATTATCTGGAGTGCGGCGTTAAAGATGTGCTTTTAGGAATGAGTATTAAAAATAAATGGAGGTGGATGTTGAATAACTAACGCCCCAGCTATCAGCACACCATCATCCTCAATAATTTCAGGAATCTCACGTCTCGACGCACTAACTAGAAGTTCCGGAAACGTGACGATCGAAATAGTCGACAAAGAATTCCTATATTGAGAGCCATGTCAACCGAAAAACCTGGGAATAAAAAATGCAATTTTTAATGTTGATACTGAAATTCAGATTCTTACGAGTGGTCACGATTTCATTTAATACAAATTTTTTTCTACACATCGGTTTGAAGGAATTCGCTTTATTCTCGCTCCGTCGACCGTAAATACCAATGAACATGAGGTATGTGTCGAAAGATTATAACACAAATTCTTCCGTACAATTGG